TCTAATAAGTTGAATAAATCTATATATATATATGAAACATCAATTATTTCAAGAAATCTCGATTCTGTTCTTCTTGTTCGCAGATTGAAATTTAAAAAGCGATTACGTAATCGATTTTGATGGCGACACTAGGTGCGTACGCTCAGGAGAACCTGCCATCGGGCTTTCAATTTTATTTTGTGTCCAATTTGTTCCCTAAGTGCCGCCTAGAGAAAATCTATCATCGGGCTTTTAATTATATTTGAAAATCGGTGATAGATTTTCCTTAGACTCAAAATATGCTCGATGACAGGTTTTTCCTTGGCAGCACTCATATATTATCGTCGATTAAACGCCTGAAATTAGATCATATCCAACGATAAAGTAGAATGCAGCAGTATTGACAATTGGGCCAAGTGGACATAAATATGGACATTGGATAACATGTATTTTTATTAAGTAATATAAATTGATTTGTTACTACGTATACGTATATTTATAATTTATCAATTTGTAGTTATTAACTATATACTATCCTAAACAAATTATAAGATAATTATTAATTATTATCCTAACAAACTACAAGATATTAATGGCTTTATACATCTTTTATACAATATACCTAGCCTGCAAAAGATTCTGCACAGTTACATTATCATCGATAAAATAAATATCAAAAAATAATTATAATTTTCTAGGCTTAATTATAACTTTCAACTCTTGACAAGAAGTGATAGCTGCAGACTTGATTTTCAATTCTTCATTCATATTACACAATTCGAAGTCATACTTTCCATAAACTAATGTCATTAAAGAAAGTAATTCTATCATTGCTAATTTTCTACCTGGGCATGTACGAAGTCCACCACCAAAAATAGAAAAAGAATATTTATGTTTTAACATCACTGTATCATCAACATCCTCAGTATCATCGTTAGAATTATGATAAAATCGATTTGGATTGAAAACTTCGGGATCATCCCAGTAATCTTCGTTTAAATGTAAACCAATAATATTCATTGCAAAATATTGACCTTTTTCCCATTTATAACCAGCTATTTCACAAGCATCTGTTGAATATCTTGTTAGGTTATTCACAGTTGGTGTTAATCTATTTGCTTCCATGATTACAGCTTCACAAAACTTTAGCTTGGAAAGATTTTGATAAGTAATTTCGTGAATAGTTTTAGAAGGAAAGTGTTTATCGATTTCAGCGAGCACTCTTTGTTTTACTTGAGGATTATGACAAAGATGATAAGTTATGAAACAAAATAGATTTGCGGTCTATTATATATGAAATTTGAAAGTAATTATGTACATGATAAATCAATGAATTAGAGATATCGATATTAATTATGGTACTTACGGTATCAGTTCCATTTACAAAGGCATCCAATAAATTTATTCTTATTTCTTCATCTGTCATAGGTCTCATTTCTTCGCCTTCAATAGGCTTTATTCTATTACTATTTCGATTAGTGTTAGCAGTAATTAAATATGTCAACATATCATTTCTTAATTCAGTGTTCTCAGTTGTTTCTTCAATTTCTTTTCTTCGTCGCTTAATTATACAGTCTAACCTTTCGAATAAACAATCCCGATTTTTTAATAATGAAATTGCTTTGTTTTTAATAAATGGACTATAACTACGCATGAATGAACTTATGCTCATAAATATTGGAAGCCCAAGTATATGATTGCGAACTTCATTTACAAATTTATCAGAATTCTCGATCAATTCGCCTGGTAGCTGAATTTTAGTTGTACTAAGAGAGTTATAATAACTTGCCATTGAATAAGATCGTTCACCTGTAGTTAAGACTACGACTATATCATAAGAAAATCTATGAAGCCATTGTGAAAAATCAACCTCGAGTGACCAATCATGTTCGTTATCGTATGATGTATTGCTTGCAAGGGATTTCCAATAACCATCCAACTCTTCAAAAAGTTTATGTGACCATGAGACAGCATCATTTTTAAAACTAGGAGTTAGGATTGCTTGTGTAAAAAACTGACGATTAAACCTCCAACTCTTCAGATTATTATTAAATAATAATCCTTTATCTAATACTTTAAGTTCTTCTAATCCTTGTACATGATGCGTTCTTGCTGAAAAAGTAGTATGTTTTGTTGATGTAGATAATAATTTTTCAACATATTCCGGACGCGATAATATAATTCTTCGATGTCCGCCTAAATAAACTTCACAAATACCACCATATTTTTTTTTAAGAGACAAATTATATTCTCTTAAGTCACCTTTAAAATTAAGTTCATTTTGAAAAAATGGTAAGGGTAGAGGACCGGGAAGAGGGTTCGGGCGAGTAAAATATTTGTAATAAAATTGGAAGATGTAGATAAAGAAAATGAACGCAATGGAAAAAAGAAAATCTGTGAACTTAAAATCTTTAATTTCGAAAACCATTATTAGATGGTTAGCTATAAAAGCTTGTTGTTCAATAAAGTTCTTCAAAACATTTAAGTTCTTGATACATATATAGCGTTATAAGTGGATTCTCAAGACTTCGATCAGTAGACAAAATTATAACGGTATAACGGTTCCGATCAACTCACCGACATTTTACATTTATCCGACATCACATAGGGTTAGGGTTTAACATTTGATTAGTTGCAGGTATATATTTTTACTAAATTTCACCTGGCGTGATGTCGGCTAAATGAGCTGTCAGTGAAATGAAATAATACGGACCCGATTATAATTAGTCAGCAATTGAATAGATCGGCAAAGTGAATTAACATTTCGATGAAGAAACGAGCAGGCTATCCTTTTTTTAGAGTTAAATCCGTATTTTGCACCATGAATTTTTTTAATAAAATCGTCAGAGATCATTTCATTTAACTGCAATGATTGAGCAAATCTCATATTGAGGGGAATGCTTGAAAATCCCCCTTATAACGCTATATATGTATCAAGAACTTAAATGTTTTGAAGAACTTTATTGAACAACAAGCTTTTATAGCTAACCATCTAATAATGGTTTTCGAAATTAAAGATTTTAAGTTCACAGATTTTCTTTTTTCCATTGCGTTCATTTTCTTTATCTACATCTTCCAATTTTATTACAAATATTTTACTCGCCCGAACCCTCTTCCCGGTCCTCTACCCTTACCATTTTTTCAAAATGAACTTAATTTTAAAGGTGACTTAAGAGAATATAATTTGTCTCTTAAAAAAAAATATGGTGGTATTTGTGAAGTTTATTTAGGCGGACATCGAAGAATTATATTATCGCGTCCGGAATATGTTGAAAAATTATTATCTACATCAACAAAACATACTACTTTTTCAGCAAGAACGCATCATGTACAAGGATTAGAAGAACTTAAAGTATTAGATAAAGGATTATTATTTAATAATAATCTGAAGAGTTGGAGGTTTAATCGTCAGTTTTTTACACAAGCAATCCTAACTCCTAGTTTTAAAAATGATGCTGTCTCATGGTCACATAAACTTTTTGAAGAGTTGGATGGTTATTGGAAATCCCTTGCAAGCAATACATCATACGATAACGAACATGATTGGTCACTCGAGGTTGATTTTTCACAATGGCTTCATAGATTTTCTTATGATATAGTCGTAGTCTTAACTACAGGTGAACGATCTTATTCAATGGCAAGTTATTATAACTCTCTTAGTACAACTAAAATTCAGCTACCAGGCGAATTGATCGAGAATTCTGATAAATTTGTAAATGAAGTTCGCAATCATATACTTGGGCTTCCAATATTTATGAGCATAAGTTCATTCATGCGTAGTTATAGTCCATTTATTAAAAACAAAGCAATTTCATTATTAAAAAATCGGGATTGTTTATTCGAAAGGTTAGACTGTATAATTAAGCGACGAAGAAAAGAAATTGAAGAAACAACTGAGAACACTGAATTAAGAAATGATATGTTGACATATTTAATTACTGCTAACACTAATCGAAATAGTAATAGAATAAAGCCTATTGAAGGCGAAGAAATGAGACCTATGACAGATGAAGAAATAAGAATAAATTTATTGGATGCCTTTGTAAATGGAACTGATACCGTAAGTACCATAATTAATATCGATATCTCTAATTCATTGATTTATCATGTACATAATTACTTTCAAATTTCATATATAATAGACCGCAAATCTATTTTGTTTCATAACTTATCATCTTTGTCATAATCCTCAAGTAAAACAAAGAGTGCTCGCTGAAATCGATAAACACTTTCCTTCTAAAACTATTCACGAAATTACTTATCAAAATCTTTCCAAGCTAAAGTTTTGTGAAGCTGTAATCATGGAAGCAAATAGATTAACACCAACTGTGAATAACCTAACAAGATATTCAACAGATGCTTGTGAAATAGCTGGTTATAAATGGGAAAAAGGTCAATATTTTGCAATGAATATTATTGGTTTACATTTAAACGAAGATTACTGGGATGATCCCGAAGTTTTCAATCCAAATCGATTTTATCATAATTCTAACGATGATACTGAGGATGTTGATGATACAGTGATGTTAAAACATAAATATTCTTTTTCTATTTTTGGTGGTGGACTTCGTACATGCCCAGGTAGAAAATTAGCAATGATAGAATTACTTTCTTTAATGACATTAGTTTATGGAAAGTATGACTTCGAATTGTGTAATATGAATGAAGAATTGAAAATCAAGTCTGCAGCTATCACTTCTTGTCAAGAGTTGAAAGTTATAATTAAGCCTAGAAAATTATAATTATTTTTTGATATTTATTTTATCGATGATAATGTAACTGTGCAGAATCTTTTGCAGGCTAGGTATATTGTATAAAAGATGTATAAAGCCATTAATATCTTGTAGTTTGTTAGGATAATAATTAATAATTATCTTATAATTTGTTTAGGATAGTATATAGTTAATAACTACAAATTGATAAATTATAAATATACGTATACGTAGTAACAAATCAATTTATATTACTTAATAAAAATACATGTTATCCAATGTCCATATTTATGTCCACTTGGCCCAATTGTCAATACTGCTGCATTCTACTTTATCGTTGGATATGATCTAATTTCAGGCGTTTAATCGACGATAATATATGAGTGCTGCCAAGGAAAAACCTGTCATCGAGCATATTTTGAGTCTAAGGAAAATCTATCACCGATTTTCAAATATAATTAAAAGCCCGATGATAGATTTTCTCTAGGCGGCACTTAGGGAACAAATTGGACACAAAATAAAATTGAAAGCCCGATGGCAGGTTCTCCTGAGCGTACGCACCTAGTGTCGCCATCAAAATCGATTACGTAATCGCTTTTTAAATTTCAATCTGCGAACAAGAAGAACAGAATCGAGATTTCTTGAAATAATTGATGTTTCATATATATATATAGATTTATTCAACTTATTAGA